TTGAACCACTCATACGTTGGCCCCTCAAGAGTAGAGAGGAACCAACGGCAGAGATATTCATCCGACGTGTTCACCATCAGCATGTTGTTCTGATAGCGGCTGAAGTGCTCCTGGGGGTCTGATCGGCCATCGTAGGATTTGATGGCGTTCCCCCTGTACTTCTCCGGGATGGGGGCCGAGAGCACCCTGTTGGTGAAAGGGGTCCTGGTCCTGACCTGGATGATGGGGTCGCCTCGCCCTTCGGCCAACTCCCTCTCCAGGGCACTGACCTTGTTCATGAGAGCGTTGAGGCCGAGGTCGTTGGAGGCGCCAGCCGTGGGGGTGTTGGTCGATTGCCTTGCCTCCATCTGAGCCAGCCTCCGCTCCAGCTGGGCGATGACCTCGTCCCGGGGGTCCCTGGCAGCCGCAGCGGCACCCAGCTGGTTTCTCATGCGCTCGTCGTGGGCTGCATTGATCTGGTGGCGCATGTCGTCCTCGTGCAACTTCCCCTTGCCCTTGTCCAGGCGGGACTGGTCCGCTGTCCGGGACACAGACCCCAAGCTTTCCCTTGGCGAGCCAGGCCGACGCCCGCCAATCCGTCCTGCCATCCTCTCCAAAACCGGACGACGGCGCGTGTCACCCAGCCTATTGAAGGCAGAGGCTTTCCCACGCGCTGGGGTCTGCCCAGGCCGAAGAGGGGAAGCGGGGTGGGAGTGGGACGACGCCGTGTCCTGGGCCATCACCCCCTCATCGTTGCCTACCTGGACGGCCAACGGTTGGGGCTGAGGAGGTGGAGTGACGTTCCCCCCGGTCCTTAGCAAGAGAGCGCTGAGGACGGTGGGGTTCTGGGCCAAGCTGGCGATGATGACCGACAGCGCGGCCTGAACTTGTGGATCCACAGACGGAGAGGCCGCGGCCATTGGCTGGGCCGGGGCGTTGTCTGTCTTCTCGGCTCGTTTCTTGTCCAAGCCGATGCGGGCATCAGGGGCTCCGCCATTGAGTTGGTTGCGGAGGTCCGTCGTGAGGTTGATGGCCTCTTGGAAGACGTCCCCTCCGCCGACCTGGTCGGCCGTAGCATCCTCCTCGCGCTCCCTGGTCTCCTAGTCCTCAGGGATGGTCTTGCTGACGAGGTTGCGGTTTGACTTAGTTCTTCCCATGGTCAGTGATTAGCTGTGCTTGGTAGCGACGAAGGGTGCTAACTTGATTGTTCTAGCTCTCAATGAAAGCACCAAATGATAGAGTAGTTGTTTAGAAAGAAGTGAGAGCTAGAGAGAGAAGTGCAATATATGCTTCAATAGAATGATTTTATAACCCCCATAACTACTTCCAGAGGAAGTATTTATAGGAAAAATACGGGCTGGGCTCCCAAGCCTTGGGCCGAATACAAAGCCACTAGTGGGCTGTACAAATGAGTAAGTGTAAGATCCGGTTCTGTGGGTCTCCCGTGGCCGACGAGGGCTTTGGCCGACGAGGGCACGGCCGACGCGGGCACGGCCGACGAGGACACCCCGGTTCCTTGGCCTCAAGATCATATTCTGGACTGGCCCTTCTTCGGCCGACGAGGGTCTTCCGGCCGACGAGGGCACCGTGTAGTGACTGTGCTTTCTGTTCTGAGTATGTGGGTCATGGGGCCTAGACCCACATACTCCATCATATGTATGTATGTATGTATGTATGTATGTATGTATGTATGTATGTATGTATGTATGTATGTATGTATGTATGTATGTATGTATGTATGTATGTATGTATGTGTGTATGTATGTGTGTATGTGTGTATGTGTGTATGTGTGTGTGTGTATGTGTGTATGTGTGTATGTGTGTATGTGTGTGTGTGTATGTGTGTGTGTGTGTATGTGTGTATGTATGTATGTATGTATGTATGTATGTATGTATGTTTGTGTGTGTGTGTGTGTGTGTGTGTGTATGGATGGATGGATGGATGGATGGATGGATGGATGGATGGATGGATGGATTGATGGATGGATTGATGGATTGATTGATGGATGGATGGATGGATGAGAAATTGATTCTCGAAGTTTGGGGAAACAAACTCAAATAACGAGGTTTGAAGTCGGTCAACTCTTTGGTAATTTATCCTATGATGATCAAAGACATTTGACTGGTATGTCTCACTTAATTGTTGAAGAAAATATGCCTTTTATTTTTTCTGAAATTCTTGCTTTAAAAGAATATGCTCAAGGTACTTTAAATCCTCAATTTCGAAACTATAGTCACAAAACGATTAAAAAAGAAGTTATAAGGCAATATGTTTTGGAAAAGGAAAAATTACAAATATTTTTCGCAAACTTTAATGGACGTGTTAGTATTTGTAGTGATATATGGGAGGACACTCATTATTATTTATATTATTTGACTGTGATTGCACATTATATTGATGATGATTGGGAAATGCATAAATGTGTTCTTGCTTTTCGTGAATTTAATGATCGACACATCGTTGATAATATTTATATTCTGCTTGAGTGTATTTTAATTGAGTACAATTTGATAATATTTATATTTTTCCCAATCCATTTATGTTCGCTATGGGTTTTGATAATGCTAGTAATAATACTGCTCCTATACCTTGATTGTGTGAATTGTGTGGTTCTTCTACTTTGTTGAGTAGGTTTTTTCATCAGCGTTGTGCATGTCATATTTTAAATTTATGTGTAAAAGACGGGCTAGCCGCGTTGGGAGATGCTATGGAGGTAGTGAAGGTGGAATTAGACTTATTTGGGGTAGTAATCCATTAAAAATGCAATGACGTCAATATTTGAGGGATAGACGTGTCAAATATTGTGCTTTTCCTAAACATTTATCTATTCGGTGGAATAGTACTTATAACTTAATTGTTGTACTTATTAGATTTAAAGATCATTTTCCTGCTTTTTTAAAAGAATATGCTAACTATATTATAAATCCGGCTGACATCGACACTATGGAGAAAACTGTGAATGTTTTGGTGTTTTGCAATAATGCAACTCAAACTTTTAATCATGTTTATACGGCTACCGCAAACCATTTTTTTGTTGAAGTTGTTAATCTCGCCGGCGCTTTTTGTGAATTTTCCGATACCGTTTACGTTAATTATTTTTGTTCTTACATGAAAGAGAAGTTTTTAAAATATTATTCACATATTCCGCATATATATGGTATTGCATTTACTCATGATCCTCGTCGTAGACTTGATGCTTTGGGGCATTGTTTAGATTACTATTATGCTTCTTTTTTGGGTCCATTTCCTATGTACGAGGAAAACCCCATAGACCCTAAACAAGAATTGCAAGAGGTTAGAAATTTATTATATCAATTATTTAATGAGTTTCATGCACAATATGGTCACGCACCCCCTCCCCCGACACGAACATCTTCTTTATCTAAAGGAAAATCATTTTTTAAATCTGCATTTGACAATCTTATGAAAAAAGTAAATCAACTCCCGATTAATGAACAAAGCTCGATTAATGAGCTTTCTTTGTATCTAACATTTCATGTTGATTATGAAGTAGGGGATGAGTTTGACATTCTAAAGTGGTGGAAGGAAACAGAAAGAACGTTCCCGATTTTATCAAAGATGACTAAGCATATGCTAGCAATGCCGGTATCAACAGTTGCCGTGGAACCAGAATTTAGTGCGGCTGGCAACGTGCTAACGGATTACAAAACGAGATTGAGCGCGAACTCTCTTGAGACGCTTGTTTGCTTCCACGATTGGTTAAAGGCGAAACGTATGGATGAAACAACCGAAGATGACGAATATTCCGATTGATTATTATTTACTACGTATTAGAAAACGTATTTCATGTTTTAAATTTTTCTCAATTCTCAATTGTGCAGTTGTACTACATATTTCAAATAAATATACTTTAACTTTTTTATATCCAACAATTTTTGAATTAATATATAAAAAAATACACGGTTCGACCCGGCCCAACCTGCTCTATACCCGACACGCCACCCGACCGGGTAGCCCAGCCCGAACCGAACTCAGTAGGTACCCGGGCCGATTCCAGGCCTCACTTATCCAAAAAAAAAGCCTGGTCAGAACCGGACCGAGTCCCGGCCCAGCCCGAGTCCATGCCTAAATCAAGGGTGTATCAGGTATGCATGTTTCAACATTTGTTGTTTGTGAATAGGGATGGACCCGGGCCGAGCCAATTCCGATTCCGGGCCAGTTCTGATTCCGGGCCAGGCCCGGACGGGCTTTTTTTGCAATTCCTTGGGCCCGGAACCAGCCCGGGTTGCTACCAGGTCCGGGCCTAACCGGGCCGGGCCGGGCCCGGTTCAATACTTAAATTTTTTTCTTTCTTGTTATCCCCCGACCCCCCCCCCCCTCACCCCCACCCCTCAAACCTCCCCAAAACACCGAGCCTAACCCTAGGAAAAGAAAAAAAATTGAAAAAACAAAAAAATGACCCGGGCCGGTTCGCCCAAAACTGGGCCTGAGCCCGGCCCGTCCGGCCCGCCCACACGGGCTAAAAGCCCGGAACCGGCCAACCGGGCCCGCACAGTAGCGGGCCGGTCCGGTTCCGGGCCGGTTCAGCCTGGCCCAGTCCATCCCTATTTGTGAAATGTTCAGGTATATATGTCTTAGATGATACACATGTATCCAGTAGGAAAATTAAAACAAGATACATTAGTGATAAGCATTTGCTTATTGATGGGTGTTTTTACCTTTTAAACAAAAATGTCAAGATAATACGTAAAACGTGAATCTACTGGTTTTTTAAAATGCTTTTTCTTAAAGAACATGAACCTACTGGTTTGTCAACAGGGGCAGACCGTAGTACAAATTATATATGAAAAATAATTTTCTCCCTCCCAAAAAATATTTTGAACCCCAAAAAGTATTTTCGCCCCCCAAGATGACTTTCCTGGATCCGCCCCTGTTTGTCAAGTATGATTATAGGTGTCATTTTCTGTCATAAGTTTTTTTCCCCATTATCCCACGCTACCAGTACACTTCTTAAATAAAAGTAGCTTTCTTCCTGTAAAAATCATTTACTATTCGAAAATAAACCATTCCAAGTGCACTTATATTCTTAAGCAGAATAACAGTGTTTGTTCTTTTCCGAAAGAAAACCACCCTGCATTGTAATATGTACAAAGGCAATGAATGATAGCTGAAAACCCAGCTTTAGCCATATCTGCAAAACTGAAGAATAACCCCATTGTGAACTACTACCAAAAAACACGCTGGACTGGATGGCTACGACTTGGTTGCCATCACCATCCATGGACGTGGAGGTTAAAACAAAGGTTATATCACCAAAGAATGGTTGCCTTTTAACCATCACCCTGAAAGAAAAAAAAAGGAACTTCAATTCTTTTACTGATCCGTGTGAGTGTTAGTTTTGGGTGTGCTATCAAATGTTCGGGGTTTTCTCTTTGTATATTGTTCTTCCTTCCACTTGTTAACATACTTCAAGAACGCAAGAGCGGGATTTTCTCCTGGTGGGGCACGAACTCGTGATGACCTCCTCAGCACAGATTCGTCTTTACCACTTTCCTGAGTTGTTTCCTTTGATCTCTTTTGGATTTCTAGGCTGTAATATATTTTCAAGGCAAAAGAAACCAAATATTCATGAAAAGAACATTCAGCAAATCTATAAACATGATAGAAGAGGCTTGAGCAACAAAACCTGAACGGAAACTGAAGCGACCCAAACCCACCAAACCATAGGCCTCTTGGTTTACAGTTTAAGGTTTGACTTCTAAAAACTGACCAACCCAATTGAAACCAATAAAAACGACCAAAATAGCATAACCAAAACTGACTTCAGTAGTCAAGTTATTTGTTTTTTCAGTTATGCAATTTTTTAAAACCCAGCAAATTTAAAATGAAACCAACCTAACCAAGCTGATGAGCACACCTAGAAGAGGCACAACATCCATTATAGACATCTAAGTTGAGGCTTACATTATTTTATCATAAAACTTTTCAAGTTGCTTTTTGAGAGCCCTCTCCCTTGTACCCTTCACATTAAGTGAGCCCATCAAAGCATCGAGCTGTTAAAAGAAAGAAGAAGAAAAAGAAATTGTTAAAACACCATTCCAATAATGGAATAATAGTAACTACAACAACAATAATAATACTCCCTCCATTCTCTATAAAATGTCTCGTATTCCTTTTTGGAATGTTTTTTATTATTTGTACCTCTTCCCTTTTTTGGTAAGTTTTTTCAATCAAAATACCGTTATACCCTCACTTTTATTTTCCTTACCTTTTTTTACTTATTACGAATTACTTTCTCTTTCCTATTTTTTCATTACTTTCCTCTTCTTAATATATTATCTATCCTACTTTTTCATTTACCCTACACTCTCTATAATGCCCCTACTATTTTCTTCTTAAAAATCACAAAAACCCTAAGGGGGGGTTAATAAAGAATGAGGGAGTAATATTAAATATTAAATATTACTATCTCCATCCCGAAAAGGTTCACCATATTGACTTTTCTTGGTCAATGATGACAAACTTTAGACAATGATTTTAATTATTATCTTTGTATATAATTTATAAATTTTATACTTTTACGAAAATATTTTGAACAAGGAACATTTTGTTATAATTTTCATATTCAAAATATTTTCATTTTAAAATATATCATTGATCAAAGTTGTTTGCCATTGACCAAGAAAAGTCAATTTGGCGAACCTTTTCGGGATGGAGAGAGTAATATTAATAATTAATAATAATACTCCCTCAATCCCAAATTGTAAGATACATTTACTCTTCACTTGGTCAACATAAATCACTCTTAATCTTTTACTTTATATATCAAAAGTTTATGATATTTGAATTATTTTTTGCAGGTTTTGTAGCGGTTTTAATGTAGTTTCTGAATATGTAAATTTTATTTTTTAAAACTATTTTGAGTGTTCACAGGGATCAATTTGCTTTATCGCCGGTCAAACATCGTAAACCATAAAGTATCTTACAAATTGGGACGGAGGGAGTAATAATAACAATGATAAAACAGCATGCTGACACTAAACCAACAATATCACAATACCTCTTCCTTTGAAGAATAATATCCCCACTGCATTGAATCAGAACTCTCAACAAATATTTTTGCTTCACGTCTGAAAAACCAGTACCTATTATATTCTCTATCTTTCCCCAATGGACTAGTGCGCAAAACTCTCTTTTCTATTTCTCGGTCAAGATACTCTTTCTGAAACTCAAGAACAGATAAATAAGACAAAGCTTGAAGATAAAATTATTATTTTGTGAATCATTTGCCAAATTAATAAAGCTCGTGTTATGGTAACACGTTTTGTTCTTTTGCCAAAAGTTTCATTTTCCTTTCCTCTATGCACTATGCATGCCAATTAACAAGCAACGAAATAGAAGGGGAGTGGGGGCGATCAAATACACAGACAGAGATAGCCCACCCTTTGCTCCTTGCTCCTGCTTTCTAATGTTTCCTTTATTTGATTCTTCCGTATCTTGTGTGCTAGCCTTTGCTTTTGGTCCTTGCTCTGGTTTTGCATTAATTCCTTCATCCCATTCTTGAAAGCAGCCTTCCTTGATGAACCATTACCGTTCTCAGCAGCGTCTTTCACAAATACCTTCTTTTTCTTAGCATTCCTGAAAGTGGTATCTGCTTGCTCCCCTTCACTGTTCATAATGAAGGAGAAAATATAAGGATAGGAGAGGGTGGTGGTGGGAATACTCTGGAATATTAAAAATATTGAATCATGGAGATTAAACCTGTCATCTGATAACTGTTTTGAATTCAAAGGGGTCTCGAATGCATTCCCTTCATCAGAAAGGGTTCCATTTTCCGTACTGATATGCCCCTTGCTTGCTCCATTTTCAGCACATGGAGTATAAGAACGCTCTTTTCCTTCCCTTTTATTTCTACCTTCTTCCAAAGCTTCATCCCTCCGTGCAGCTGAAAGTGCCTGCCGCTTCTCAATATCCTCATCCAACTTCTCCTTAAAAAGACCTAACATGAAGGCTTGTGCAATCAATTCCCCAAAGATCTTCAATTTAATGCTAACATCTAGAAGCCCATAGTGACCGCGTTTGATTGTAGAAATATGAGCACACAACTCAGCAATGTCTATCATTTCCAAGAAGTCACACAAATACTCGGTCCATGTAATCATTGAGATCTGAAAAGAAGGGGGATATTGCTGGTATCAGAGATTAGTACGAATAAATAGTGATATCAGACGATGGAAATTATAAGACTCAATTCAAGGAAAGTCAGGGAAAATGTGTGGTGGGCACCACAGTGCCAGTAAAACCTAAGCCAAGGTAGAGAACCAAATGCTCAAATAGGGTCACTACCTCGAAGGGCATATTTGCTTCCCAGAAAATGCCAAGCAAAATTAATTTTTAAAGTTTGTTTTGCCTCTGTAACTTCAAAGTATAACGAAAAAAAAAATCTTAAGTTTTTAAACATACATACATATATAGGGTTGAGTTCAAATGAGAAGACATCTTAACATGTAAAATAAGAATTAATCTCAACCGTCCAAATTGTCGATTTGATGCACAATAACTCTTATCGAATGCACTTTCGAATAAACCTTATCTGATGCACTTTTCGAAAAGTGCATCAGATAAGGCTTATTCAAAAAGTGCAACATATAAGGTTTATTGTGCATCAGATTAACTTTTTGGACGGCTGAAATTAATTCTTATTTTACACGTTAAGAACTTTTTTTATTTGATCCAAATTCTATATATATATATATATATATATATATATATATATAGATAGATATATTTCTTAGCTTTTATATAATATAACAATTAAATAACTATGAATTAGTTTTTATGAATAAAAAATATTCAATTTGGACATATCTTTTAATTTCCCTAAATTTTTCTTTCCACTCGATTTGGTCCCTATTTTCTTCCTAGCATTTGCCTTGCTCTAAAAAACCTCAAAGGAGCACCAAGTTCATATGCGTCAAGCATACACATAAAATGGGTTTTGACCGTTACAAACATGATTCGTGCACGCTCAAACTCAATAGTTGATATGAGTCAAGCATAAACAGAAAGACAGCACTCTAGACTAAAAATAACATTATGCAGAAAAAAGACAATCAGAAAAAAACACTTGATAGTGATGCACATTGACCTTGTTCTTTCTCTTTTTCTTCTGTACAGTGAAGAAATACCCCACGTGGTCATTCATCAGGAGACGAAGAAGGGCTGAGTGAGCTTCAACAATGAGAACAACGTTGCTGTCACTATGGCACACAGCATTCTCAAAATCTTCAAGGGAAAATGGCGACAATTGCAAAAATCTGCCAAATGATGTACAAAAATCCCAAACCATCAAAAGATCCCCAACACAATGCATAGGGGCATTGAAATCCCTAGAAGGAGAAGGACGTTCAGTTAACTGCATGTCACTTTCTGAAGGCTTCACCAGTAAATCATCGATTGGATATCTAACAGACACCATATCCAGCTTTCTGTTTTCTGAAAGAAATGGTGCAAGTAGAGGGGGAAAAGATAATTAGATGATAGAAATACCACAAGCAATGTGTAGAGACGATATGCATGAATCAAGCTGAAAACAGATCGAAATAAGAAAAGAATCAAACAAAGATAATGGTCTTGGGAATTCTACACAGAAAGAAGACCAATTAGTAAAGCCTTACCATCATCAACACTCTCCCCGTTTGTCAAGGGATCATAATTTTTTCTGCTGAAACTCTCACGCTTAGGATCGGTCCACTCGTTATTTTCCATGTCCTGAGAAGCAATAAAATCAAATTGTCATTGGTAGCAGCAGAACATACAGACAGACATACAAAGAGAAAACTCTTATAATTACCCCATCAGCTTGTATGCATTCACCATTCTTCCTCTTCTTACTTACAACAACCAATCCATCCTTAACAGAAATTTTATTTTCTAACTCTGCAGGAGGGTGAGTAGGAATCCTATGCTCATCTGCCAATCTATCATGCAAGACCCATGGAATGCTGTGATGTGTAGACTCTCTGATTAAAACCTTGAGAACACCTCTAATATAAGGCAGCTTCTTCCTTATCAAGTCTTCTTCATTTACGTATGTACTTTCAGATATGTCATCATATTTGTCCGTCCATTCAACCTCATATTGTGTTTTCCCGTCCTCTTCTACAACTTTTAGAATCCTGCAATTATATATACAGCTATTTTTCATCCCATACAAATTGGAACCCACACACAGACGGCCTTGAAGCTTCATAGCAATTGCATTGACTAGATCGTTTAAGCTCAGCATACCTGTGAATGCATGATAAGATCCTTAGAATACAATTTTAGAAAAAAACTTATGTTTAATCATAGTTGTCTTCTCGGACATAACATATGAGTCAAGAGGCAAAACATAAAATATCAGCAATCAGAATACCAACAAAACATAACTGAATATGAAGAAGTTGAATTGGAAACAATTAATAAAAGCATGTCCTCTGCTTTTGAGTTAATAAAAATATATCATATGCTTTTGAGTTGGTGTAATGCCAATGTCATTCAGGTGATTGAGGTAGCCAAAATGCAACCACAGATTGTTTACAAGTGAAAGGTTCAAGCCTTCAAGGCATTAGTGTTTATCCAAGATTTACAGGACAAGAACTGCATGAGTCATATTATAGGAGTACGAGTCAAATATAAGAGACACTAACTCTCAAATTAGCATGAAAAAACTTTGAAACTGGATGTGGTATATGTGATAAAACAACAGGCTCTACACCTTGTGTTGAAGTAAATCAGTACCATTCAGGTCATTAATTCACATGCTATGCAATTGACCTAGTATCACCTAGAGCAAATGGGCGAATATCAATAGATCATGTATTGTGCAGCATTAATAAATTTTTCATTCCCCATTTCCCTATAATATCTAGCATTTCAAGAACCAACAAACATTCCACCGAATCCAACTTCTTGATTACCATTAAAAGGTACTCTAACTCAGTAGTTTGATTATTACATTATTTGTTGACTTGCAATTTTTCTTAGCTATGAGAATATTGCAATCCTAAAGATTTCAACACCAAAGTGCAAGTAGTTTACATGGGGTAATTAAGAGAATGTAAACATGAACATGGGTGCTTTCAATGTAGATCCACTTGTATCCCATGGTACAAAAAGTGAATGTTAGTGCCATACATACAGCCAAAATCTTATCTTTGCATCACCCCAAAAAGAATGTAGTGAAAACTGAAGTATGTGTGTGTGTCTTAAAAAAGGCGCTTAATATAATTGTCAAAGCAGTGTGTGTGTGGGTATGTGTCTTCAAAAAACAGGTCCTCTAACTCAACAGTTCCATTACTATACGTCTACACCACGTACTTAGTTTTTCATTATGTACACAGCGTTCAAAGTATAACAAACTCGAAGCTTCCAGCATAAACTCCAAAATATAAGTAGCTTACATGATATAATAGAAGAAACAGTAGGATTAAAGTTTGTAAGTGGTTGTAGGTTCACTTCATCAATCCAATAAATAATGTGCCACACTGACAACTCCCAGATAAAAGACAATCAAGTTTTCGTCTTTACTTGTAAGTAGAAAGAAGCTCATCTACTAAGTAAAAGATTTCATCCATAAAGTCATCCCCAATCATAAGTTGCACAGTTTTTTAGAAAGGTAGCGATACACCTAAAATAATACTCCGTATTACATTCTAAGGCCGTTCAAATAGAAATTAGAAGGCTGTAAATATAACAACACTATCAAGAATAATCAAAATAGATAATGAAATAGAAAACACAATTATAACCAAGCAAGGTAGGGGAATTACTGAATTGAACATCTCGGAGTACAGGAGCCAGAAGTTCCTTTGGAAACAGTTGCAGCTCTTTGCCAGATTCCTTCTCCGAAAGGAGCGCTTCCTCGTAGGTCAAGCAATTCTTTCCAGACAGTTTGCAAGACCATACCTTTTGTTGGTACATATTCATCCGCTTCAAATAATCACTACAAATTTTTAAAAAAAATCCATTTAACTTGCTAGCTAGCACCTACAAATAAAATACATACCAATAATAAACAAAACAAGAAATTTTAGGGTTTACCCATAATCCCTGAAGATCTCTTTTGTGAATCTAACTTGGAACACCTGCTCATTGGGACTCAAATCTGTAGGCTTTTCCAACAAAGCAAACGGCTTTCTTTTATACAATGGCATTCCGGAAAGTTCAACTTGAGTGCCTATACAATCCAGCAATTGAAGATCAAGTCCCGTAAAGAAAAGTTTTTAACTTCTAAACGCAGGAATATACGCAAACAAATGTCCAGTGCTCATTCGTGCATTAACGGTTTGTTTCAGATATGCATCATAAACGTACAAGAACTCATCGAGCAAAAAAATGGAAAGCGGTAACTCAAGAAAACAAACTAATCTTTACATTGCGGTAAAGAATAAAGACGATTCCCGCCAGTGGAGCATTTCATAGTTACATATTTCCACCATTTTTACCAGATTGAATTAGAAAGTGATGTCATATTTGCGCTTCAATATTGGGACTGGTTATAGTTTTAGGGAGCCAAAGGGAGGCGGTGGTGGAAGCTGCCCGACTAACCTGTTGAGGAGGGAGACTTGGCTCTCTCTCAATCTTTGCTAATCTCTCTCTTCATGCATTCCCAAATCCCAACTTTAGGAACTCTGTCGCTATTTAAATAAGACTTGCTGCATAGACTACTCTGCCCTTTCCCTTTTCACAAACTTGCGTCATGTTATATCAGGTATAAACACTTCTCTATACGCACATTCAATAAAGAGTTTAAATTACCTCTCGCGTAGCTCAATATGTAGTAAGGGAGGGACACAATGGGAAGTTACTATGCTCAAAATGCATAGTCCCAACGTACCGTTCGGTCGGGGTCGGGGGCTCTCAGGGATAGGGTGTCATCCTTTTTTTAATAAAGAGTTTAAATTTGAAAAGATTATAGTGTCTTTGAAAAATGACGGTTCAATGAAAAATAAAAAATAGCGACTTGATGTCTTTTAGCGTTTTCAATAAGTGGAAACATTGTTTGGTAAATAGTTGTTCAGCTCTAATGAAACGTTGTAAATAAGAGAGTTTTGGTTAGCGTTTTAAAATATGATGTTTTTTACTAATTGTTATGGCAAAACAACTAAATTATCAAACATCTTCTCACATCCCGCTATTACAATTCACTAACATAATCTGGTATCCGCTAAGTACTGAATGTCAAACACGTCCTATGTAGATAAACGAAGAAAAGGATTATGTAAAATCCGGTTTCACTTCTTTTTATCACATCTAGTATAGAGTGTGTTTAGAATTGAATCTCATTTTGCATCATTTAAAAAGTAAAAATTACATTTTTTGTTCTTTGATGGAGTGATTCTCATTTGAGTATTTGATATTACTTCTACTGTATTGAACAGATAATCAAGTTTGATCATTTGGATAGGTTTGTTGTTACAAGTTATTTGTGTAAGATTACTAGAATGGCATAATGTATTGGTTGGGTACAAATAAATGATATTAATGTCACACTAGATGCATGATGTAAAAAAACATTTCAAATAGCATATTTTACTTGTCAAACTTTTAATATTTTGATATTATGTAGAAATTATAAGTGCTTTTGTGTTCATATGGAAACTCAAAACCTTTAAGCAAATTAACATCAAAAGTAGATATTCACAAATATTTTCACTTATCCCTTTGAACAAAGTAAAATGCAAATAGATACTCAAATCACATTTGTTTTTATATTTACATTTACTCTAATACTCATGCTCATTATATTGATAACATCCATATTCATATTCACTTTCAACCGAAAAGTTGTTTTCGAGCTTTAGAATCAAAAAGAAAATTTTGAGACTTAAAACAGAAAACTTTCTCGTGCCTTCACTCGAAAAACCCCGTCTCGTAATCCCATCCCCCGAAACTCCTTGCACGAGAACCATACACCCGCAATTATTCACCTCCCCAAACCCCTTGCTCATGATCCATACCCACGAAAACACCTCACGAAAACCACCATCGTAAACCACCCCCGAAACACTCCAACTCCACTACCCATGAAAACCCCATACCCGAGAACCTACCCACGCAAACTGCTCACACGGCCCACAATCCGTCCCTTGAAAACCCACCCCCACAAACCCCTTACCCGAAAACCCCTTATCTGAAAACTCTTACACCCGAAATCCCTGGCCCGCAAACCTCTACCTCGAAATCCCTACCACGCAAACCTCTACCCCGAAATCCCTGCCCCGCAAACCTTTACCCCGAAATCCCCTCACCTGACATCCCACTTCCAAAAACCTCTCACCCTGAACATCCACACTCAAAAACCCTTTATCCCCCCAAAACCCTTCCATTTGCAAACGTCTTGACTGTTTTGGCCATATTTTTTGACTCGGTGGTCTGATTTAGGTCGTTAAGCCCTTTACGGAAACAGGAAGAAGAGATCTGCAAGAATCCCCAGGGACCGGGACTGACTCTCACGCGCCCTCACTCTCCGGTCTTGATTAAGTTTCCTTCCGTTTTCCGAAAAATATTGTCAATTATCGAGTCAAAGTCAAAACAGGGCTCAATTTGAAAGGTCCACTCTTCAAAACTCAAACCAAAGGTCAAACCTGATCAAAGAATCGTGTAGATAATTCAATCAGCCACACGTCAACGATCCATCTCCGACAATAAAAAATGGATGCCTACTCCAACTCATCAACACTCTCAAACAACATATCAACCACGTTATCTGATGAGTTCGAGGTAAGTACTTCTAATTCCAATTACACCAAACAAATATGTTCTTTACAGGATACAAATATCTTCCTTGTGTAAAGAACGTAAATCTATTAGTGAATTAGAATCCCGATTTGCAAACAATGAAATTGTCCTGAGAAAGCACTTATTATTGGAAAGCATTCTTAATGTTCGTTTAACAAACTCATAAGAGAAAAGGTTACTAGCTTGAAATCTGAAGTTGAAAATTTTAAAGACAAATATGAGATTTAACTAAAGAACTCAAGAAGAATGATCTTAAACAAAAAGAATCATTGAATTCCTTTGAAGTCATTTTTCAAGAACGAAGTAGATTTTATACTAAAATCAAAAAGAGTTGGAGTTCAAACAGAACTCCAACAGAGGTCAAACAAAACAAACGGTTTTTTCTAAATCAGCCTAAGGACATTGAGTTCTATGATCCTAGAAAAAACTTAGGTTTCCAAAATCCTTGTAACCTAAATAAAGTTAATTGTCGTCAACTTTATATATAATACTAGGAAATTGATCGCACGTTGCACGAATATTATATGCCCAACACATTTTTTATGAATTTTGTAAAATTTTGAGCATTAATATTTTGAGAACAAATTGATCATGTGTTGCGTGTTGCTTTTAGAACACAAATTCTAAAAGCAACGCGCAAATTCTAGAGCACAAATTCTACATAATTTTTATTTTGTTGGGTTTTTAAATATACAGTTATTTTGAGAACAAAATGTACGTATTATGTATGAGTTTATTTATGAATAAGAAGGGAGTATCATGAATATAAGAAACTACTGACGGTATTATTTGTAGCTCATGTTTAACATTTTGCTTAAAATTGCAGAATTTGTATGATTTGTTTTGGAGATTCACGCTGATTTTTAGTCATTGCAGTTAAAATGAGCATATTACAATTCCTACACAATAGACCAGCAAATACATAAAAAGTATAGCTTGAAAGTTCTGTCTCTACAAATAATTGGAGTAACAAACACCTAATATGATTAAATTCTTAAATAAGACATATACATACGCTCCCAAAGTCATAGTTCTTGACAAAATTATTCAATTTAAATTATTTGGTCCGCGATCTCACATGTAGAACTATTCTATTCGGGCATATAGACAAACTTGTAGTGGGTTTGATTTTTATTTAAAAAACCTCTAATGTTTTTTATTTTGTTTTCAAATTGAAGAAAACAAACTACTTTCAGGTGAGCAATTTGTACCAAATTGATGAGATGTGTTCAATCCATCTGCCAACAAACATTTACATGAAGTTAAATGAGAACACGTTTGGTAACCATAATTTTTTGCTTTTCAAGCTTATGAGCCAACTTTTTCATCAAAACGTAACTTTTGGTTTCGCGCACTGAATTGTGTAATAATAAGAAAAAGTAAGGTTGTAGTTACTTCTCTGACTGTATTGGCTGAAACTACTGTAGATGATCATTTTAGCTATTTTATCATATAATTTTTCATTTATTTTATTTCTAAAATATATTTAAAATATATTTTTTCACAAATCAGCTGAATAGCCAATACAGCCGCTTCAGTCAGAACTTTATAAATTTCAGCAGCATCAGCCGATACAGCAGATTTAAGTGTTACCAAACGGGCCCTGAATCCGGCATCTAATCATTAGCAACTTATAGAAAGACATGATAAAATTACCCCCCAAAACCAAACCAATATGGAAGATGGATATTAAAAGGCGGAAACTTCATCATCTTGTCTTCTAAGGCCATATAAGAAGGATTTTAACATCTTAATAAAGAGAACTCCAGAAGTCGCCATATTAATTAGGGACTTTGGAAAATAATCCACACTCATGAAATGCATACCTATTAGCTTCAGCATCTTAAATGTATGAAGCCAAAGTTCAGGAGTGTGCTATTATGTATTAATTTGCTCAAGATGTATAACTCAACACCGTTATACAAACAGTATAACATCGTAAGTGATATAACTCAACTGGATAGTAGCAGTACAACCCCAGTGACAAAGTGTACAATATGATAAAACATGAAAGAGCATTTAATATGAAAAACTGTCCTTTATAAGATAGGTTAAGATAGGGTACATGGGTTTAGGGCTAACTAAATTAATGGCCTTCTCTAGTGCGTCAGAAATGGAGAAAAGAGAAATGAAAGTGAAAGCTGAAGTTTCTTTTAATTACATAGAATTGAATGATAGTTACAAGACAAGGAAAATTTCTCCTAAGATGAAACTGTGTCTACATAGGAAGAGTCATCTATTTATGAAAACTCATCACCTTACATTTCAGAGATCATTAAGAAAATTGTTGATCTTAATACATCTCTGAAAACCGAAAGAAATATACTCAAAATAGAAAAGGAAAAGCTTTTAAATGAAATATCTTCTCTCAAAAACACCCTCACAACAGACAAATCTTCTACCTCCTCTTCTGTTTCTAAAGGCAGTCTTTACGAACCTCCTTCCAAACAGGTCTCCAAAGAATACGACTCATTCTCTTACTCTCATTTTGAAAAAACGAAAGGTAGTATTATTAATAAACGCCAAGAGAATATTATGACTTGGGTTTTCAAACAAACTCAAAAGGAAGCTGGAAGACTTAAAATGTTCTCTGAAACATCAAAATCTATTTTCTCTAAGTCTTGTAGTTCTTTTAAAGATAGTAGTTCCAGTTCTGGCAATAAGTGACCTAGTTCTAACACGGACCATTCTTCTAAGTCTTCTTCTGATCTACATATGTGAAATCCAATTCTAATGCTGCTATTAGTGAAATCGAGAAGTCTAATACTTCAAATTATCATTGTGATTTGAATGATGGGAAATCTCAACTGAAGATATTTAAAGCTTCTACCTATGATGTTTGTGATGATGTTTGCCTGACATATCCCTTCAAGGTTTATTCAACCAAACATTTGAAACGTCTATCAAGGGAGAAAATCTTTACTTCTCAAAAAATTATCCCATCATTCATTTGCGCTGTAATCGTTATTATAAAAAAATGGATTCCTGGATCAGAATCCCAGTCATATAGCTCTCTCAAAACTTCAAAAGAGACTGTTTTAGGAACAAAAATAAAACAAAATTTGTTTTTTGGTAAAAGGGATGGACCCACCTTGAAATGGGTACCAAAGGTTTCTTAACCATTTGCAGGCCCGTCATACGTGGTAACTGATCTGATTGCTCCACACACATGGCGAGTATGAACCTGCACTACAACATGGTTTCTAGATACATTAGTCCAGAACCGATATCAAAGAATGGCTTATGAACACATCAATTCAAAACCCACAGACATAAGCCGTATCATACGTCAAGGGGGAGCGATGAAGAAATCTTTTTCTGAACTTCTAATCAAGATCATCAAAACTCCCAGTGCACCTATTTAAGACAAATTAATTTTGAGGGGAGCAAATGTGTACATTATGAAGGGGAGCATTGGCGTGTATACTCTTTGCTGAGCGGAAAATCCTTCAAAACACACTCTGAAGGGGAAGCTTCTATATCACCTCCCAGACACCAAAACATGTCAAACAACAACTTGAACATTCTGAGGGGGGGGGGGGGGGTCATTTTTCTCCTCCTGGTGCCACACAATGTACAATGCAAGGATTCTCTCGAGGGTGAGGATATATATTAAGGGGGACTTTTCAATTTACTCCTCCCTGGTGTCAAACAATGACAAAGCATAGCGAGTGCTCCAGTTGAGGGGGAGCACAAAGAGAAAAGAAAGCAAAAGGATCAATGAGAGACGAGTCCCAATAACTTGGTAAACCCAACTAAGCCTACCCAAGGGACAAAGAGGAAAGTGAGTGAGTAAACACTATGAGAGTGAGGAAGCAGAACGCTCATGTGAGCAAGAGAAAAATAATCAAAGACATGTCTGCTACCTCAACTGCGATACAAATTGAGGAATCAATCCTACCCACTCAAATACTCCGGACAATCCACATAGGTTCAGGACTGAATTTATTAAGATCTCAGGTATAAGTCATTGCATTTTGTCCAAACGGCACATGCACAATCCTACCCAAGACCACTCATTTTTCTCCCAACAAACAAGTGTTTAATCATATTTCACGGTGAACCTCATCTCTTATCATTGTCCCTTCTGAAGCAACTGATGATGACTACAGTGGCCCACAACCCCATGCCACTGAACTTTCATTGATCACGTCGTGTCTAGTTATCTCACTCTCAAATGTTTTGAATTTTCTAAGACACCGACACATTTTAGAGTTAGTTGTTGGTCTTCACGACCTGCGAGAACTTCCATAGGCTCATCTACCATAGATGTAGACCAATGATTATAAGGAAGTCCTGACATTGCAACATAAAAATCATCAATGTATTCAGTCCATCACTTTAGAGTTCATCTCTATAATGATGGTAACGGACGTCTACGCGAGCCTGGAGGGCTAAAATTTTCATTGATGATCATTTTGATCATGCCAAAATTACTAGAGTGACATCTATTTTTTATGTTTCACAATGGTTGGTCGGAAGTCTTGTCAGAGCTTTAATGCTTCTATCATTTTATACAGGCCACACATCAGTGTTTTCATTTGATGATGTGATAACGAAGCACCATGGTGTCTCCAATTTTTACATTTTGTTTTGTTACCCAGAATCAAAGGTTGAATAAAGACATGACGTCCAGATTCGTTGGATCGTCATGATGGGGCAACAATCCAAATGCTTAAAAACATTCAGCATCATTTCAGACACACCTCTCCTGCATTTGAAAAAGTAACGGCTCTCCAAATCATTCTCGAATTCATCAGAAGAGCTCAGTGCCCGTACGAGAAACATCTCAAAGAGTTTGAGCTCTAACACAGTCCTTACAAGCCACACGTCGGACCAAATCTTCTTCGCACAAATGGTCAACATACAAGCTCAAAGCCATCTACCAATTTTGTTGTGCCACCGACGAAAAGTACTCCTCAAGTGATTTCAAATCAAACAGTAAAAAAGACTAGGTTCTGAAGGAAACTTGGGATGGACAAAATGAAACTGAAAGATGAAGCACGTGCCTGTATGGTCTCTATCAGAAGACTCATTCTAGAGGTGGCATCGAACTTTATACATGTTGATCAAGAGCAACTTCTGGAAGGTTATGATTTCAAGCGAAATTTTGAATCAAAGGTGAGCTCATTTGAAATCAAAGGGAGACTGATACACTTCTCCATTAAGGGAAGGTTGCTAGAAATTAACGAAGACGATTTGAGCATCTCTGAAGTTTGAACATTGAGAGGGAGCTTGTCAACACAAAAACAAAGATCACTTGCGCTTCATTGCAAATTGAACACAAATTGGAAAATTATTAGGACATTTTTGTTGTGTTCAATTTAATTATATTTATCTTTGTTTTCATTCTATTTATCTTTCGGGCTTATTATCATAATATGGGCTTATGTTGTAATTAGGCTTACGATTAATCGTATGAAATATCGACAACCAGTCACACTTTCATTATCATTAGCCCTACTACTGTAGCGTTAGGCGATTAAATCGTGAAGCTTTGAAGTAGTCAGGAGCTCTTCGTGTGACTAGAGATGGGGTATTTGACGGTAGTTTTGTACTTTAGCAAAATATTATATCAAAAATTTCATTTTTATCAAATACTCCAACTTTAATATATCATCATAATCACTTTAATTTTAAAACACTATCAACTTTTACTATTAAGCGTTTTCTTTAAAATAGCTTTTAAAAGTAGAAGCGAGCACCAATACTACCAAAAAGAGAGTCGAATTTGATCTTATTTCTTCAAGGACCAAAAGCAATTGTAAAAAGCAGGTTGACGCACCATTTACTAGTCATAAATCTATTAATATTTAATACTATACTGTAATACAGGTTAATTTTATTATTCCATATTATCAGACATTATTGCTAACAGACCACCACCAAATCTGCAAATCACCAATCAAGGCGTAGCCAAAAGCAAGAATTGAGGTGAGGCAGTACAAAATTCTTTTTAGAGATTTTTTTCAGATTATTTTTTACACATAAAATACAAATATTTTTTAAATTGTGGTGGCATGGATCGGGGTCTGGTCAAGCGCCTACTCCGCCGCTTCTGTTAAATGTTAATGCTCGATATTAGTACTCTTATTATCATATATACGAAGTAGAATATATATTGAAAATTAACTTTAACATTACATAATACTAATCGTAATTCGTAACATACTCCCTCCGTCCTATTTAAATCTTTATACTTTCCTTTTTGGGACGTCCTATTTACTCTTTTACGTTTCCTTTTTAGACAACTCCTTTTACATTAAATGTCCTAACTAATCTTCACTACTCACTCACTTTTTACTTTTGAGTGAATATCATTAAATCTCACCAAAAGTCAAAGAGCACACAAGACATTTATTCTTCTATTAGTTGAGCTCATAAATTACCGTACTAAAAGCAAACGTCATGTTCTATCTGGAACGGGGGAGTAGTAGATAAATAACAGTACATATTCTTTAAATCATCTTGGGCAATTTGATGTAAACATGAAATTTGGAATAATTTTGCAAATATAGGCAAGGAGTGGAAGCTTTGCTTATCTCCTCTATGGCCTTCCGGGAACAGGGTAGTCTATCATTATTCCACAATGACCATTCTTAGCAGTTTGATTTGTATTATCTCGAGTTGACAGTGGTTAAAGTCTTAAAGATAACAAGGCGCATGATATTTTGTATTCAACCCGTCAGTAGTGATGGACCCGGGCCGGTCCGGTTCCAGGGCGGGCCCGGGCAGGCTTTTTTTGCAATTACTTGGGCCCGGAACCGGCCCGAGTTGATACCAGGTCCGGGCCTAACCGGGCCAGGCCCGGTTCCATGTTTATTTTTATTATTTTTTGCCTTTCTTGTTATCCCCTGACCCCCCCCCCCCCTCACCCCCGACCCCCCCCCCCCTCACCCCCTACCCCCAAACCTCCCCAAAACACCCAGACCTACCCTAGGAAAAGAAAAAAATTGAAAAAAAAAATGAACCTGGCCCGGCCCGAACCGCCCGGGCCGGTTCAACAAAAGTTGGACTCGAGCCCGGCCCGGCCGACCCGCCCAAACGGGCTAAAAGCCCGGAACCGGCCAACCGGTCCCGGTCCGGTCCGGGTCCGCACAGTAGCAGGCCAGGCCGGTTCGGGGGGCCGGTTTAGTCCATCCCTACCCGTCAGCCCTGGAATATTCATCACGTTTTTGGCTAGGCACCATTAATAAACTTTTCATTATGATCTGTTTTTCCTCCATACATTCTCATATATATTAGGATATAATATATATACACACACATGTGTTAGTATGCAGCTTCATGCATAATCCACTAAATGTAGCGAAGTCCCCACAAGAACAAAAAGATGTATGTAGGGTGGAACCAAGCTTGTCATGGTGCATGGTGATCGCCATGGCGGAGAGGTATTTTACATGGCGCATGGCAATGGCGCATATGGCGCGCAGTCGTGCACCATATCTAGCCATTGACAACTATGGGTGGAACCATTTCCAGCTTACAGTTCAGAATGCATCTTGAATGCATCACTAAAGCTTTCAGGGACAGAGCTGAGTGCTTCAATTTCAAGTCTGGAGAGGATAAGGCGTGCTATGTTTTCAGCTGATACAGCACTAGTCTCCATTGTGCTCGCTGCATTCTCAAAAGCATTCACATAGTACAGATGCTGGCCGTCCAAAATAAGTGGCGCAAATACCTCATGGGCATGAAAGACGGGATATGCACCCCAGTCAATTTTGATCGTCTCGTTTCTCACACTGCAAGAATGATGCAAGGCATAAAATAAAGAGTTGAACAATCACAGTTCCTTTTAACATTAATTTAAACTGTAGCTCATAATCTAATGATTAATTAAGTTATTGAGTGCATTTCTATGTGAATGCAATGTCTTAAGATTAGCAGCTGCAATAGAAAAACAGCAGATTGTTTCAAGGGGTGCACATGAGCATGTCTTAAGATTAGCAGTTCTTTTTTCTTTTGAAGGGTAATGATAGAGAGCAGGGAGAGCAATGGGTGGGAACAGGCTTGGGCCCACTTTCGTGTGGGCTAGGATTATAGTTTTATTTACTATTATAAAGTTTATGTTATTATGTTTGCTAGTTTGGGCCTATTATTAGTACAGTAGTTAGTAGAGTTAATTTGGGCCTAATTAGGGTTTAATTAATTTGGGCTCAAATAGGGTTTCTGTTGAGTCTGTTACTAGAAGGCTATTTATACCCTTTGCCAGGGATCATTCTTGGTTATCTATGAATGAAATTAGATTTCAGCCTTTTGGCTCTGGGCAACGGTTTATATCGTTGATTATCTGAGAAACGGTTTACCTCGTTGATTTTTATTTTTCTGCTCTCATCGGGTAAGGAAGATGTACATGAACATAGAATTGGTCATTACATCAATCTCAAACTTAGAGGGTGTTTGGATTTAATTCTTAAAACTGTTTCTGCTTCTTCGGGGAGCAGAAGCAGAAGTTGGAGTGTTTGGGTGAAAGTGCAGAAGTACTTCTGGTGTTCTAAATCATTCCTAGAATCAGTTTTTTTGAAGCTGGGGAGACCAAAACGGAATCTGATTCTGCTTTTGCTTTAAAAAAGAAGCAGAATCAGAATCGGTTCCAAACACCCCTTAATTTACTTATCCAAGAAAGGTATGTATCAAAAAGTGTGTTAAATTACTATCATCACAACTTAATACCTAATCAGCTAATCTCATCGTTGTTTGACCATGAGTGACCATCTACGACAAAGAAACTTCTCAATATATCACAAGTTTTAGTGTTTTGCCATAGTTTCAAACCATGTAAGATACAATAACATGTTAAGTTAAATACCAGCAGATACAACCACCACGGATGAAGTCTTTAAAGGGAAAAAAATAAAAAATCTCTAAAATTTCCACTGGAAATAAATAAGTTTATTCTTCTTACCTAAAGATTTTTTCCAATAAATCATCTTCCATGTAACTCCGTGAGAATAGTTTGTAAGTCATATCATGCTCGCTGTACCGTTTGAGAACCGAGATGCTTGAAAATGGAACTTCAGAAGTCTCTATTGTGCCAACCAATTCTGGAAGATCTGATAATGACCTCAAACCAAAATAAGACTTGCAAAAGGGAAAAATTAAAACAGTAATTAGTGAACTATGGTTAGGAGAGGACAATAACACAAAGGAATGTGTTAATAAGCAGATCGTACAGTACTCACAAGATTTAAGAGACCCCTAATGAACGTTGTATGTGTGTGCTGTAATCTCCTATCAGGGATTGTGATTCCAGGTACAAAGTGAATATTCAATTCATCCAAGGGTGTAGCAACCACCACAACTTCACAAAAGTAACTCTTCCCCTTTGTTGTCTTGAGTTCATATTGTTTTCCTGAATAATAGACTGAATCTATTTCTTCACCAAGGTGCAATTCAACATTTGAACGATTGATTAATCCAGCCGCCATCTGCCAATTTCCCCCTTCAACTGACCATAAACCTCCTCCAGATCCAGCCAATGAAACTGCACCAGCAAGACCACTCATAGTGACACTTTGCCCATAATTGATTCTAGTGATAACCTATATAAGAACGTTCAAACTTGCATAAGAAGGCATCTGTGTTCTGTCTATGATATATTATAGACTTGGCTTTAATAGAGGAAGAAAGAGATCAAACATCCCAATATGAGTGTGCATACATCATATTAGAAATTAATCATTGTTCAAACTTGTACTCCACAGGATATAGGATTATACCAAGTGAAATGTCAGGAGTCAGAACCCTTTTTATAAAAACATTAAAATATGACCATTCACACCATTATATCACTGGGGTGTCTTGACTCTAAAAGAAGTACTGCGTATTTCTTTTTCCAGCCACTCAAGCTTCTCCACACCCAATGTAGCAAAGTCCCCACATAGATGCATGAAATTCAAGAAACAACTCAACAAGACATTCGGCCCCATACCACTTATGTCCCATATTAAACTTTGTTTCATGGTTTACAATTGCTGATGACTGATAATAAAGCTAACTCTTGCCTAACAGCACAATTAGTTTTAGTACTTACAACTTGCATATTTAGAAATTACACTACAAGTTTCATTACATTGCAAAATCCGTATTTGAATATGATAAGAGTTTGGGACATAAATTTTGAGATCAAAAGGAGCACATTCATAAGTGAATAAATAAACTTTTTCAGACGGACAGCACAAACCCATCAATATGAGGCTTTAGAGAATTAAAAGAGAGGTCAGATTTTACATACGGTGACAAGTTCTTGAATAAGGGTAGTAGATAAGCCAGCATCAGTCAACTCTTCTTCCAATGTTCGTGTTGTCAAATTGTACAACCCCGACCATTTAAGCATTTCCTCTACATCCTCGAACACCGGCCTAGACTCAACTCTTTCATAGAACTTCAAGAATTTATTCACAGTTCCCTGTTGAGAAAGTAAGCATACTATTCAAGCACTAAATGTGTAACAATTGATCTAAAAATGTCGATTTATTAGTTTACAGAGGGAACGAAGTGAACAAATTATGCAGCACCTCGACGAAATCTTCCATCCGAAAGAGTGAGAACCCATATCTAAGAAAAATGAGGACCGAATTGGCGAAAGACACGATCTTTTGAAGAATCGGGAGTTTGGAGTTTGAAGGCAGTGTTTTGAACAGGAACTTACTGCCGTCCCAAATGCCAAAAGAAGAATCGGATTCCGACGATGAGGCCTTTTTTACTTTGAGGTTCAAGTAGTTTGTGAAGTTCAAAGCATGGTAGTTCTTTGGATGGAGAATGGAGCCACCGGCCTCAAAAGTGTCTCCGGAGACTGTGACCGTGGCCATGCGGCCGCCGACGACACCATGTCGTTCAAATATTTTTATCGAACCCACTTGAGATGGATTGGAATAGGTTCGCAGGAAATGTGCCACAGAGGAGCCGCCGATCCCGCTGCCGAGTATACATACTGCCGGAGGAGATGATGATAGCGACTCGGAGGTGAATAGCAGTAGAAGTAGCAGGAAGAGGAAGGAGTAGAGAATCGCTATCTTCATTTGTCTTCAAGATTTCTTCTTGCTTGGATGACAAAATTCAAGATCTATCATTTGCTAATTGCTAAGGCTACAGTGGAATATAGTCATATACACGTATGGCTACTACTGTTCTTAAGTCAACTATGCAGTCTTTTTACAAAGTAAGAGCATCTTCAACAAACACAATGTGAAAGGTGGAAGTAGGTGCATAGGAGAATAGACTCCTCAAAATTGGTAAACAAAATTGGTAAGTAGAACATCTAGATATTGAGAAAAATATATTATCTCTTTAATGTCATTGATTTGTTTTTATGTATTATCTCTTTAATGTCACATGTGCATCATGCACATTGTGTCACCGAAAATGTTCTAAGGTCGCATAAATATTTTATATTTTTCCACAAAACAGTAGTTATACAGAGTATTTGTTTCACACTTGGGTATTAGATTGAGGTAATTTTTTAAATCACTCCCCTAGGCCAATAAATTTCTTTCCAATTTGACTCGTTCAAAATTTAAGAAAGTGAGAACAAAATGAAAATTATGAATGTGATTGAATAAGAAAATGTTAAATGAATGCTAGTCATACAAAACTTTCCATAAAAGGAAATGGAAAGAATTTTTGGGACATCCCAAAAAGGTACGCAAGTCAGGAGAATTTTATAGGACGAATGAAGTATATTTTTTTGAGATCTATGTAACAGTGTATGTTGAATAATCTATTTTATTTATTAAATTAGGAAGAACAATTTTCATGTTTTGTGTTTTATAACTAACTTTCATGTATACTATTTATCCCTGTAATAAATAACTTTTTACAACTAACTCTGATCCATAGATCAACAAAGTGAGAAAAAAGGCAACCTAGTTTAATTATTCAAGAAAAAAATTGATAATAGCACAACGAGACTATTGAAATCTATTATGAACTTTCATTCATATATTATAGTTAGTTCATCCATATGTATACACACAATGGAAAGAGAAAAATCTCATCTTTTATTAGTTATTGGACAAATAATACGGAAAGTGAAACAAATTCAAAATATACTATCGTAATGGGGCGGACATGTATACTATCGTAACCGTCCCGTTGGTCATAAAAATAAAATGGTTATTCCTTACCCCGTACCCGTTAACCGATTAATGCAGGTTTTCCTGTTTTGACAGGAGACGGTTTAGGGTTGTTAACGAACCGAGTCGAGCCCGAACACCCAGAGCTGTATATTCAAGTTTGGTTGTAATTTTATTTAAGTTTCAACCCAATTTCAATAAAATTTAATGAATCGAACGAAGGTCCACAAAAAGGCCCAACGTTTTGAATTGTCCGGTGACATTTTCGTAATTGATGTGTAAATCACGGTTTCTATTAAATGAGCATTAGTGTATTGTTAGTGAGGATTAGACCAATTCTAATGAGACTAATAATGAGCATCGTGATATTACTTGGTCCAAAAGGTTGAATGCCCAACCCCAAGGCCCCCCCACCCCGACCCGACAGGATGGTGGGGAGGTTAATCACGGTGACTCAGTCAGCAAAGCGACGGTAGGCCTTATACACGTGCGCACCAGAGGTCCAGTCTTATTTCAGGTTCCCATCGTGATATTACAAGATATGCAGCTAATGTCACGGTTAACCGCCGATGGCATTTTTCGTAATCTCAGTGAAAATCATGAATTTCGTTATATGAGCATTAATACAGTTTTGGTGAGCATCAAACATATTCTAGTGTGTATTAAGAGTCGGATAATGAGTATTGTAATATAACTATATTGCAATTCACTTTCTTTTTCTAGTTTTTATAATATCTACAATGGACCTGTATGGGTCCAATATTTGAATCTAAGGCATGACATTGTAAAATGAGTATTGCATACTAGTAATTACCAATTGAGCTCACATAACATACGAAAAGAGCATACTATTTGAATCAAAACGTTGGGCCTTTTTGTGGACCTTCGTTCGATTCATTAAATTTTATTGAAATTGGGTTGAAACTTAAATAAAATTACAAATAAACTTGAATATACGGTTCTCACCCATACATTCGGGTGTATAATATAGAGAACCCATATTCATCATGCCAAGATGCTCCTAAGTGAGCACACTAACTTAAATAACATGCTTATATATTTCTTATAAATTTCTTATAAAGACTAACGAGTAGATTTAGATGCGTAGACATGATTCGTCCTCCAAAATTCTGCATTACCCACTAGTGTTTTTTTTAAGACTTGTCATACTTTTGTTTTTGAAAAGTTACCCAAAGAAATATGGGGTCACTGGACGTTACCCAAAGAAAGCAAGAGAAATAACGTAAAAGCAAGTAGATGGAATACAAAAAAGCCATTGCCACCAATAATGGGCCGAAACAACCATCAGAGTATCAGACCACCCTTATTCTCAAACTCCAAATCAGCACTCATAGATGTCCAAATTCCCCAAGCCCAAAATAACAAGTCCATAAAGTCATCACTACCCATATGCCCGTTGTCAATGTACAAAAACTCTAGAAATAATGCCCGATGTCGTATCTGCGAATTCGATATCGATAAACATATTGTACGCATTGGATCTGTATCCATAATTTTATAAAAGTATTAGACTTATTTTTAAAAATATAAATACTTCTGATACCCGTATCCGTAACCGATACACGTATCTAACTGATGGAGTTTTAACTCCTAGATTCTAGAGAGAAGGGAGAGCTAAAGAGAGAAGTGAAATGTATTAATGAATTTTGTGAACCCTTACAACTACTCCCAAGGGGAGTATTTATAGAGAAAATTAGGGCTGGGCTCTCAAGTCTTGGGCTTGGGAGGCCCATTTACAACAGGGCCACTAATGGGCCGGATACAAAGTGTATAGAAATGATAAGTATAAAATCCTGTTCTAGAGGCTATCTATGGTCGACGAGGTCACCCAGTTCTCCTGACTTCTGGATCATATTCTGGGTGGCCTTCTTTCTGGCCGATGAGAGCATGGCCGATGAGGTCATCCGGCCGACGGGGGTCCCCTCATGTGATCGTGGTACCTTATGTTCTTCTGAGTATGTGGGTCTTGGGGCCTAGACCGATATACTCCATCAGGAGTCCCCCACTCTCTAACCTGAGACATTGACGAAGTGAAGGAGAGTAGATTTATGTCTTTTTTTGTTTGGACGTTGTGTGCTCCTCGATGTGGATGAAGGGGGCCCTAGTCATGTGGATGATGCGTGTTTTCTGTTTGAAGGACGACGAATGCCTTTGCTTGGTGGAGATGATGAGCGTCCTCTGTCATGAGTGGCCGATGAAGACAGTGCTTCCTTATTCTTGACAGTTGATGTTTGAATTTTGTACTTTGGGCCGAGGAGGCCATTTGTGGTTATCTCTTGTTTGAGGACGATGAATGTCCTTCATCTTGAGGACGATGAGGGTCCTGAACCAGAGGACGTTGTGCGCCCTTGGCTCTGTGGACGAAGAATGTCCTACCCTTGTGCTTTTGACTTTAGTTGATAGATCTTACGCTTGCGGACGTTCGTGGCACGTTCGTTTTGTTCGTGATATGGACGATGAATGTCATAGTCCCGGAGACGATGCGTGCCATTGGCCTTGAGGACGAGGAGTGTCCTTGGCTTTGAGGACGATACGTGCCCTTGATCTTTAGGACGATGTGTGTCCTTGATATTGAGGACGATGTGCATCTTGCTTTGCCCTTCGGCATGGCCGAAGGGTGAACACATGGTTGTTGGACGTTGAGGTACCATTGTCATGGGCTTGTGTTTGTTGGATTTTGAACTTGTTTATCTTTGCACTGGATGCCGATGTAGTCCCTCAGACCTTCTTCTGGCCGATGGAGACATGGCCGACGGAGGTTCCCTTTGCTTGTTGTTTTCTGGATGTTTTCATGTACGTGGAGGCCGATGTAGTCCCCCAGTCCCCCACTCCTCGAGGCTCATGTAGTGAGGTGAAGAGGAGTAGAGCAATACGTGTCTTCAATAGGGGGCCGAGGGTCGGCACCTTTTGATCCACAATGGGGCGATGCCTTGTTAAAAACCTCATTAGGAAACACCCTGTGGGAAAAAATCCTAATGAGGGAAAAAAAGCACACTGGATCTCCCAAAATGAACTCCAAGGGGCGAACCCTTCGTCATAGGTGTGAAGCTGAAGCGGTGTCCGTCTGATGAGGGGACGCCCGCCTGGTGGTGAGGACGACGACGCTGATGAGCCGGTCCGAATATGAGGATGAGGTGATGGATGTCTGTCTGAATGTGAGGACGAAAATGGTAATGATCCGTGCGTCATATGAAGGCGACGGTCGCTGTCCAGGAAGGGAATTGCGAGCCCGGTCGCTATAACAGTACCTCGGCGTTGGGAGCCGGTCTCGAGATATGAGGACGACGGCACTGGGGGCGGTCCAAAATCCATGCAACGGTCGCCATCCGGTAAAGGAATGGCTAAGATCAGTCTTAAGATAGAGCATCACACCATAGCCGAGGGGCTCGTCGTGATGTGAAGACGACGGCGATGAGGAGTCGGTCCTACAATCCATGCAACGGTCGCCATCCGGTGAAGGAATGGCTAAGACCGGTCTTGAGATAGATGATCACGCCTTGGCCGAGGGGCCGGTCGTGATGTGAGGACGACGGCACTGGTGAAGCTGCTCATCGTATGAAGGCGAGGGTCGCCATCCAGGAAGGGAATGGCGAGCCCGCTCGCTGGCTCTAGATGCTCGGCGCTGAGGAGGCCGGTCTTGAGATGAAGGATCACGTTGAGACCGAGGGGTCTGCCGTGATCTGAGGACGACAGCGCTGATGAAGCCGGTCCAAATAAATGATGACGAAGGCGTTGATGGAGCCATTCGTCATGCAAGCTCGAGGCTCTCGGCGTTGAGGAAGTCGGCCTTGAGATGAAGGATCACGTTGAGACTGAGGGGTCGGCCGTAATCTGAGGACGACGGAGCTGATGAAGCCACTCCTCGTATGAAGGCGAGGGTCGCCATCCAGGAACGAAATGGCGAGCCCGCTTGCTAGTTCAAGACTCTCGACGCTGAGGAGGCCGGTCTTGAGATAGATAATCACGCTTTGGCCGAGGGGCCGGTCGCGATGATGAAGCTGATCGTCATATAGTGGCGATGGTCACCATCCAGGAAGGGATGGTGAGCCCGATCGCTGGCTCAAGACTCTCGGCGCTGAGGAAGCCGGTCTTGATATAGATAGTCACGCCTTGGCCGAGGGGCTGGTCGTGACGTGAGG